TGTGGGCAGTCGTGGTGCTAGGTTGAGAAGACTGCAGAGAACAGAGTGTAATGGAGCCTTGATACTGAAGTCTTATGTTTCACTAGGAACCCAAGGGTAAGCTATGTACTACAGGGTCCAACTTTTATGATAACACATTCAAAGGAGAATCAATAGTAACTTTATATTATCCGGAAGGGTGGTAACTGCGTAGTGCAGCTAGCTTATAATGTAGCTTGCATTTGAACTACTATATACACTTGAAAGTAAAGGGGTAGAGGAGATGAAACAGTGAAGGAAATATGTTTCGTACATAAATAGTCCATTGACTGCTACAAGCAGTGAATTGCTGGAGAATGTATCTGCAACAGTACACACATAAGGATCTCATACTGACTGACTGGATTTGATAATTTCTCTGACAAATCTAATGTTGAATATACATTAATGAAACTGAAATCAAAGTCAAATGGAGACATATCATCTTCTTGCAAGTTTTATAATGATAAGTCTCAAGATTCGTATTTTGGTCAGACACGTAGGAAGCTCAAAGCATAACTAAGTGGAGGAGAAAAGTATTCCAATTTCAAATGGTTTTCGGTCATACAGAATGATGTTTACTATCACTTCAATGCAAATAAGTCAATGAATCACACTATGTTCACAGTTTAATAGGTAAATAAGTGAACCTCTTCTCTGAACGTCTTGATTTACTTGATACATTTTATATATGGTACTTGATTACATCCCTATTCAATTTGATAAAACTTAAATGTAGTTTATTTCCACCGATACTTCTGTGAAAGAGTTTGTGGAATATTTGATTTGTAACCACATCGTACCTACCTGTTGCACATGACTTATCCATGTACTACAAATGACTAGTCACCGTCTGCTTTGTTATATTAGTAGGCTTAGCCTGGAAAAAGGCTCACTGTCGGCAGACTAAGATATGACATCACTGCATTAAGCCTTCAGTTGATAGTCTAAACCGTTTAGGGAAATGTAGGCTTATCGATTGTGGTCTGTATGATGACAGAAACCATTGATCGGAGACTCTAGGTGGTGTGGCTCAGAATCGATGTCAGTGGAGCTTATGTATCTACACATTACAATCATCGTAGTTTTCACACTGGATCCAGCATTTTCTCATTCTTTCTTCCTCTCTTCTACTACTTTCTACTTTTTCTGACTCATTATTCTTTGTTTCTTTGTCTTTCATCTTAATATTTTGTTGTCTGATGTGCTGATATGAGCTGCTGCAAATTGGACCGTTGCGCAGTAATGTTTGACCCTATGCTGATGTTAACGATGATGATGGCAATATACTAGTCACCTGGATAAAGTTATAATTTGCTATAAGCTCTGGAATTACTTAAGAATCTCCGAATCATTTCCTTCAAATAATACAATGACTAGTATTTGACAATGATATAAAGACCAAGGAAGTGGAATGTTAAAATTTTCTTGAATTTCGGTGTATTCTTTATTCTGCTGGTTGAAAACGATTCACCGTTTTCTTTCTGAACTCTTCAGCACAAGTGTTGCACTGGCTTTATTTAGTAATTGTAAGCGTGAAACGTGTTGCCTCAATAATGTCAGTAATGAATAGAAAGCATTTCAAATGTGTAGCCCAATTTTCGTTTTACATTTACTTGTCGGATGACATTAAAGGCCACCCTTAAAAACAACTGAAATAACCAATTAAATTTCTCTAATTTATTAAAATCTGCCCTTCCAAAGAAAATAAATAATCTCTTAGTTGATTATTTTGATAGCTATTAGGGTGGTCATTAAAATCACCCGGCTTGTCAGGTAAATATGCTTTAAAAATCAAATTTAAAAGGTGCGGAATCTTAAATAATGAGAGCCGCTTACAAGATATTTGTAATTTCGTAATTAATATAATGGATAAAAAGTTATGTTCATTTATTGATTCATAAGTTGTTAACCACCTGAGGTTTTAAGCTTGTGGTGGGCCAAAAAGCAGTTTATACTAAAAGATAATTATCTTTTATATCCGACCATCATTGTCACAAGGTAAGCGAATTAAAAGTTCACAAAATAAAAGTTAAGTCAGAATGTCATGGACATACTATTATTATTATTTATTATATTATTAGCCCCTTGGGTTCCTAATGGAACATAGGGCTTCAGTAGCACGCCTCCAGTGAACTCTGTTCGCCAAAATCTTTTGAACCTGGCTCCACGACAGCCCACAAGCTCTCATTTCCTCCTCGCACGATCTCCCCCATGTCACCCTCGGCACCAACGCCCAACTCGTCGCTTCCCATGGGGATTCCGCTCGAGCAACTGGCCTGACGCGTGATGTTCCCAGTCGGCCTTCTAGGTGTGTGCCCAATCCAATCCATCTCCACTTCTTCCTGCATATTTGTTGCGTGATAGGTTCTTGGTTGGTTCGTTACCAGCCAGAGTTCCTTGTTGTTTATTCTTTCTGGCAATCCATCTGATCTTCAGTAGCGAGCCAGCGTATGTGGCAGTTGTTGATGAATGTTTGTGGTTTATTGGAAATGCCTTTCGTAACGCGCCAAGTCTCTGAACCATACAGAAGCACTGACTTGACGTTGGTGTTGAAAATCCGCATCTTCTTCACATTTTAGGCTGAGTGGAGGAGATCTCCACACTGGTTTCAGGCTAATGAATGCCTGTCTTGCTTTTCGATTCTGACTGGACATACTAAGACAGCATAAAATAAGGATACTAAGAAAACTTGATTTCGGTAATATACATTCCTAATTTAGTTGTAGCAATGCCATTTCAACGATCCATTGATGTAACGATGATGCTTGAGATAAGTTTCCTGGGAAAATTTCTCAAAAGAAAACAATTTATCAGCACAAACAAGCAGAATTCAAACGGCACGGAAACATTGCTGAGGAAATAAAATGTATTGAAACGGAATTTCAGTGGTGAAAAATCAACTAAACTTGTTTCTACAGATGTTAGGGCAAATGTAGAAGGTAGGCAAAGCAATGGGATGAAACTTTAATGGTCGACTGATGATGTTAGAGTGGCTTGAATATGTTCTTTGCATGTCGAGTCACCGCCTACCTCAACGTGATATCCTACGGAAAGCTGAGATATTTTTGAAGGGGGTTCACATAGGACCAGATCAAGACTTAGCACCAGTTCACGAAAGTCCCTAAGAGTTGAGAGATGTAAACTACTTGGCTTGGGTTTTAGAGGAGAAAGAAGCATTGGTTGAGAGCTCTTATTGATATGGCTGAAAATTACTCATATTGACGCAAGTATATTCACTCTTCGATGCTTTCTAAAGGCTGAATATTTTCGTCAACCTTTAGCTTCAAATTGTTTCTCTCACATAACTTTATCTATTTTGAAATCACTCTTTTTCTCTCCGCCTATAAAGTGCGGAAACTCGAACCGAAACAATTTTGTGTCTGCAGTTCTACATTGGTTTTGTCTCTCTGTCTGTTATCCGTTGCAGTTTGTATTCTCCAACAAGTTTACGCCTTGAGACGTCAGTTACACATGCAGTAAAACTTGCCGGTTCACGTATGTTTGAATTTTGCTTGTTTGACATGAAGCTGAATAGTAAAATTTACTGATATGAAAGGTTGTTACTGACATGAATAGGTTGATTTGAATACACAATTTTTGGTGTTGACTATTGTTTTCGAACGCATTATTTCGTTACATATCACTTATATATCCACTTATATACTTTTGCTCAAAATTAAGAGTAGATCTAGTTTCGTTTAAATTCTTCTAAACGACTATAACTTTCGGAGGCTTAAACCTTTGTAAATTGTTTACCGTAGTCTTTTGTTTACTAATGAATGAAAACCCGTGTTCAAATAAGTGTTTTCTCATGGTGATTCCTTCTTTATATGTATCAGAGATAAGAAAAATGATGTTTTTCCTTGAAAAATTAAAGTTTCACTATTTGAATGAGATTACAATTATTCTTACCTTCAACAGTGTTATTGTTAATTGCATAGTCGTACGGTATCAACTAAGTTTCAATTAAATTTGGGTGTGAACCACTAGAACTGGTTGTAATATCATTATGTCTTTCGAGTGTTTCGATTACATCTCTTGCCAGTTATATAGATCAGTTTTGCAGGCAGTAGAGTAACTGTTCATCCTATCCGTTTTATTCTCTGAATCTTTTCTGAACTTGTTTCCCTCGAAAAGCGTCATTATTGTTTAGGTGATTTGTAGACTGTAGTAGCAAGCGAGACGCTCAGCTTTTTGGTTATTTGGTTATCATTAAATGCACAAATTTTAACCGTTCTGATAACACAACGTTAATGTGCAGAATGTTTATGGTTTCCTCCAGACAATATTACAAGACAAAAACATGTAGAACGTTCCAATAATAACGCCTAAAAATATAAGCTTTTATTTCTATGCTTTAGATTTCATTAATGACCAATCAGCTTTCAGCTGCACCTATCCAATCATGTTCCAGATAAATAGACCAATGGAAAATTTTCGTAATGAATTCAAATAAATACTCATTATTCAGTTTTAGTTTATTTACGACTTCCAGTATATTCATGTATTATCCAGTCACCAGACGCCTCCAAATAAACAAGGAATACTTATTTCTGATATCACAATTCGTATATAAACTTCGTTTATAACAATCATTTTTCTCTGTTGGACTGTTAATTGTATTGGAGTTAATTTTGTTGTGTAAATATGCGTTATTTCCTTTCAAGTGTCTAGATGACAGTTATGATAAAGATATTAATTATGTTGATTACTTCTAGACATTAGAGTGGATCTATTACTTTTCATGATGTTTATTAGTCCTTGATAATGCTCCGGTTTATTGCTATATGCTGTAACGCTGGATTTAATCTAATGATCATTTGCAGTACATGTGAACACTTATACATAAGTGTGATAGGTCATTTATTTCTTCTAAACTCCTAAAATATACCCTTGTTATATCTGCGCTAATTAGTCTTATTCATGTTAACAAACAAGTGACTTCCATTATCGGCTACAATGTAAATATTACTGGAAATATGTGGCATCAGATAATGACGTTGTATTCTCTAGTATTTCTAACCAATATTAGACCAGAAACGGTGAGTTTTTAAAGGAATATACATTACTAATGATAGCATCATTTATCTATGTATCTTTATTCCATATTTCATTCTATAACTTTATATATCAAGGACAATTATTGGTTGACATCATTTGGAGAACCATAGAAAAGCTGAGAGCACTGGACAGCTGTTTCATCCCGCTAAAAAGCTGTGACCCGTGGGTAAGACCAGTCATAAGTGAAACGGATGCCAACTGAAGACTTTGGTAGATAGTGGTGTTATATTGCAAACTGATAGAAGTTGGAAACTGAGGGATATTGGATTCCGACTCAGTAACCAAATGGTCAACTTATTCTCCACGAGTCCTGAAGGTTTTGAGTTGCATCTTTGATGGAATTTTGAGTGTAGATTGCGGACGAGTTCTATGCTAGTAAAAAAAAGCTAATCAGTGTTTCCAGGCTTCTCAATGGTTTTCCAAGTGATGTCTGTTGGCGATGAATGCCGCCTGTAAAATGAAATCCTCATACAACTCAAAATAACTGAGTTGTGTATTAATACATATACACGTGTTGTAGCGGATATAAATTTATCCATTCGTTAACGCTAGTCACCACCTGTCGCCAAGAAAGAGTTAGCTTTGAAATTTCACATTCGCCGTATTACTTTCAGCATATCCAGTTAACTTTAAAAGGTGAGCATTCAAAACTGATTCTCTATAGACAATACTTAAAGCATTCGGCGTGAAAGTGACTTCATCTCTATATGAATATCTGTAGGTAAAAGGAGAAATTTGGAAAACTTCACGTTTTACTAATTTGTAGACGTGATCATTTCCGTCGAAGTATACTACTTCTAGAGTTACGGTGACGATTTCATACCATAACCATCAATGCAATGGATAATTTCAAATCATTTTTATATCGCTAAAAACCATGCATACGACACATGCATTGAAATGCAGTTATAATTGAATACTGATCGGTTATTGTAGAGCAATCAGTTCCATGTTGTCTAGTCCTGAGTGCTGACTGAATTCTATTCATCGTTTTGCAATGTGGCTAGTAAGCTAGGAGGTTTGGCACTGTGATGCACTTTGGTGACTATTAGTTAGTAAGTTGGCAGGAAGCCAATTGACTGCAACCAACTAACAATTATAACTGTCCAAAAACGTTTCGAATTCACCAAAATTTAATATGAAACTCAAATTTAAAAGTTAAATTGCATCACCTGTCTTCAGTGTGACTGAAGTTCATCAGAGTGAGTCATTACACGAAAGCACAAACGTCCCTTTTAGTTTTGATTTCGATACTGACCGGTGGTGACAGTAACTAGATTTATACTTACAAAAGGTGAGAGTTAACAACTTCAGCACGGATTAATCAGTTCTTTCATTCTACAGCAGTATGAACGAATTATATGCGGTAACGTGGCCAAGTTTATCGTCCTTCAGATAAACGCTAATCTGAAGTTCAAGAACATATATTTCGTCGACTTATTCTGGCTTCCTATTAATTTGTCGATAGGAAAAAATTACAAGCCTAAAGAATGCGAAAGATTTCTGACTACTGTAGTGCAAATGCTATAAATCACTTTTGAATGGGAATCCATATACATTGCGCATTAATTAACCAAACACGAAAATCTTATTTTTTGTTTACAAAAGACGTGTCATTAGTCCGTTTCTTGGTGCTTTATCTTTCGCCTTTAGTTTATGTATAACACTAGTTCTCTGATCCATACTTGCACAAACAAATTATTCCGTTTTTGTCCACATTAAAGAAAAATAAAAACAGATAGACTAAGCTTCACATGTCATATATATAGCTTCCATAGAGTTTGTGTAATAGACTGGTTGAATCAAATATTGTCATTTCCTTATCGTTGACAATTTCATGAAGGTAAGCTTGTTTCTCAGGTGTTTAGACAGAAAACCTCCACAAGTTGGCATGATATCAATTGTTGTTCTCATCAGGTTGTGTATCTCCTGACCACTGACCATTTTAGCTAAACCACTTTTAGTTTTATTGCTTGCTTTGCCGGTTTACAGATGAAATCTACTTATTTAATGTTACTGATATCTGATTAAATCTTGACGCCATCCAAAGAAAATCCATTTTCTTTTTCTTTCATATACATTAGGATACGTTTTTCAGAGTAACGGATACATTTTATCGTAGATGAAGGTAATATGTGAGAAAAATATGATCTCAATGCTCTGTAGCATGTTTACTGTGACTAAACATTTTCAGTGCTTTATTCTGTTGTGATGACTTTATCATAACTATCGGCTAGTTTCTACTTGATCAACTTAAGTGTACTAGAATTACACTGTGACTTTAGCTTTCAAGTTGGTATTCATCTCACGCTGGCAACAGTTGGAGAACCATTGAAAACCTGAAAGCATTGGACGGCTGTTTCACCCTATTATGGGACTCCTAAGCAGAGAACATATATGACCTCGCCAAGAGTTGAGCCCTGCAACCTTCAAGTTCTACTGCCCAAAAGTTAATACTGATCCACTGGATCCGAACGGCATGGTTCACATTTTCACACTTCTGCAAATTAGCGGTATACCGCAACCTCCATCGACTAGCATATTTAATTATTTTTCCTTACATTCAACTTTGTTTATCCCACTGGTCATGACTTCTTAGATGTCGTAGTTTCGAATCATGTTAGGCAAATTCAATTATCATTCTTCTTAGCCTCCAAATTTAAAAAGACGTATATGTACATGTAATTAGAGTCAGTAGGACAATGATCTGAAATGGTCATATAAGCTAATATAAGAGTAAAACTTGGGCACTGTGGTCGACTGTAATTCCATTTTAGTCTGTTTACTAGAAATATCACACAGTGAAACAATGTCCGAAATGTTATCCAGTAAATGCTACTGTTTTACTGTATGATAGTTCATATAAGCTCGTTACTGGCCTTTTCTTTACCTTCAAATGTTTTCACATATTGTCTAGGGTTTTTAAAATTATGCCTCAATAACTGGATACTTTTTGTTTTGTTTGTCTAAGTCTCCTGAGATAAAATCACTGTTTTATCAAGCTGGATTCTAAGCATATCCTTGTTTCAGTTTGGAGGTTCATTGGGATTTATTGGTCTTAAGTTGGTTTTCATGTCGGGCTGACATTGGAGGAACATTGGAAACATGTGAACACTAGACAGGTGTTTCATTCTAGTGTATGATTTCTCAACAGTGCGCAACCATGACCCCACCCCGCCAGAGGTCGAATCCTGAAAATCCAGATTCTATAGCCGGCACGTTACCAGTGAGATACTTGGTTAGGATCCAGTGGTCCATATTTCCTACTTTTGTCAGTTCACGACATAGTGCGATTTCCATCCTATGCTGTCGCCGGGTAACTGTCGTCATGTTCGACTTATTTTGCCACACCAGTCACAGCAACTCACTGGAACTTTGGGCATTACCTCTGGAAGGTAGTTATCAATGAGCTCTAAATTAAGTCAATTAGGAGTTTGTGAGGATTTATTGATTTCAGGTTGGCATTCATCGTAGACTGATATTAGTTGGAAGAACATTGGAAACCTGGGGGTAGTGGACAGGTGTTTCGTTCAAGTATGAAACTGTTCAGCAGTGCATACCCACGAGTCCATACCAGGACGAAACAGCTGTCCAGCCCTCCAAGGTTTACAATATTCCTTCAAATGATATCAGTTCATGATGAACACCAACCTGACATTTTTATTTCTTCATCATGTTCAAATTGCATAGGAGTATATGTGGTAAACATCTTTGTTAGCGACGTTCTCTCAGAACTAATCATTTAGAGCTCAGAATGAAAGTTCATGATAGTTTATACTTATCTCAACTTCACTTTTCAAAAACATTTCACATTGCTTAGATCATAACTAAGAGCCGAAAATGTTGTAGTAATATCCACTTAGTGTAATTACAACACACTTTCCATACGACCAAAAACGTATGGGTCTAATTTCTGAAAACGTTTGTTTGTTATACTTACTGAGAATTATGACTTGAGTCTTCACAACGCAATTTTGCCAAGATAATAAACCTCAGACGATTCATTATCCTATTTTAGTACCACAAATTCTTTTCTAAGGTAATTATAGTTCGATAAAATAATTGCTTATCATAGTTCGTTCTGGAATATCCAAGGTGTTAACATACATTATCTAGTTAAACAGACTGAGATACAATTAGCTTTTTGTATACATTGTAAGTAAGACACGTAATAAGTTTATGACATAAATAACCTCTGGATAAATATGCATCTGTATATTTTAATAGCATATCGACGCCAATAAAGTGCTCCCAACAAATCGATTCAAACGAAGAGTGCATGCTGCGCATTCATACTGTGAAGTGCAAATAGTTTTGTACTTATTGTTAATTAGACTGATAATTGTGAGAGTGTCAGTACTGCTGCTTCAACTGAAGAGACTATCAGTGAACAGTCAAAATGTATCGTTTTTTTTCTGACATTGAGATTAAACGTAGTACTGTAAGTGTAAGTCATTGTTCCTCATTAGGGTGGCACATATTCTCTGACATTCCATCTGACTTTGACTCCATTTCTATCACCCACAACATAAGCAGAAGAAACATTTTCACATTTGTTTTCAGATGTGTTTATGAATTGCATCCAACTGAGTATTACCGAAATTCAACATATATGATCTTTAGGTAAAAAAAAAATTCGAAAAGTAGTTGCAAAGCAAAGATAATACTATTTCGCTGTGAGTTTGAACTACACAAAATCCCTTTTATGCCAAGGATATAACATTTTCCAAATAAAGTGATAAGTAATGGATACATACAAACTAGTTGGTTGCCAATAAGCATAATTTAAGTGGAAACTTCTATCCGTATTTCGCCACACTAAACATCATTTAGAAACGTCTTGATGCTTTCTTAAATGGTAACCAGTCTTGTCAATCAATTTATATCAATACTAGGTGACAACTGAAGATGAAATAATAACCTTAGGGCTAGCAACTCGATGCTTTACCAACTGAGCTATGAAACTTGACCGGTGACTAGA